CAGAGGGAGGGGGAGAAGCAGGTTCCTCGCTGAGCAGGGAGCCCGATGTGGGGCTCCATCCCAGGACTCTGGGATTATGAACTGAGCCGAAGGCAGACACTTAACCACAGCCACCCAGGCACCCCTAAAAATGGGCTAATTAAAGTCTCAGAATCATCATGTTAAAGTCAAAATATTATAGTCTATACAGAAACATTTAATAAAGTGTATTGATTTTCACATTAACATTTTATGTAGTAAATATATAAAAGATAACTTTTTATTATACTATAATTATATTAACTTTAGAGAAAATTTACACTGTTGTGAATATCTCTGCCATTATCTCACTTTAATTGTAGTAGGAAAATGAAACCATATTATAAAATTATGTTGATTTCTATAATGGTCTTGGAAAACCATAATTTTTGTTTCCAAAAACAGCCAAAATGTCTAAGGAAACAAACATAAGCTTGATGCTCAGTAATCACAAATAAATTGATAAAGAAATTGATCAGCTATTGAAAACTAGAAGTCCATTTAATTTAGAGAGGAGCCTTTAAAGTTTTTTGTTATTATGTCATTATTTATTTAAATAATCACAAAATTCAGTATGATACCAATTAATTCTAATGGGTAGGAATTTAAAGCAGGCATTTTAACTTCAATATAAATGTTCTATTAATAACAATCTAAAGAACAGTATTAAATGATGTGACTTTGTTTTAGTTTTTACATGTGGGCTTTTTCTCAAGCTTAACCACTAACTTTTGTTGCTCCAGTAGTATCCTGCCAACTACCATGGTATAGGTACAAAGTCTCACCAGAGCAGAAAGCTTTTCATACAGTACTTATCTTGCGTTCAGCCAAGGTAAGCAAAAATGTGTTTCAGCTCAACTGTGTGTTCAAGCCTAAACCGGCTGTGGAGCTCTGGCTCTTGGATTTGTGGTCCACCAGCTCCCTAGCTGCAGCTGGGCCTACCCCTCCTAGCTAATAATAGGAGTCAGGTCTACTCTAAATCTTGCTATTTGTAATGGAAGCAGTTTTTGCTTACTCAGGGAATTATTTTTAAATAATTTCCTTTGCAAACCAGCTGTGATGAGGCTTTGTGTCCACTAACATGAAAGGTCTATGCCTTTGAGACATCTGTGGGCCAGTTCCCCTTTCTGACCACAGTGAAAGCATTGATAAGAAGGGCACTTCAGTCCTGCAAAGTTAAAGGCAGAAAAATTCAAGAATGCCAAGTATGTGTGTGTGTGTGTGTGCGCGCGCACGCGTGCACGGCGCGATCTTTTTTTTTTTTTTTTTTTTTTTAATTTATTTGAGAGAGAGAGACAACAAGAGAGGGAATACAAGCAGGAGGAGGGGGAGAGAGAGAAGCAGTCTCTCCACCAAGCAGGGAGCCTAATGCAGGTCTTGACCCCAGGACCCTGGGATCATGACCTTGAGCTGAAGGCAGTCACTTAACAACTGAGCCACCCAGGCATTCCTGCATTGATCTCTTGAAACTAAATCTATAGTTCTCTCTTCCTAAAAATCATTAGTTCCCTCTTTCTAAAAAAAGACATATAATACTAAATATATATTTATATGTTATAATTTACAATATACATTAAGATATGTGATTTAGTAATATGTACTATATACTATATAAAAAGTATATATTATTTTTTAAGAAGGCAGTGCATATTTTTTATTTTTCTTCACCTACCTATCCATATAGCAAACCACTTACATAGTTATTAAGCCAACAAGATAATCTTTAAGTGACACCAGCAGAAACTCCTTAGTAAAAAGTACTATCTAGCAGTTCTTAATGGCTGTTCTGTTCTCCTTTTCTGTGAAACTAGTGTGAAAGTTTTGTGTGCGGTTTTTTTGTTTTGTTTTGTTTTGTTTTGTTTTTGTTTTTGTTTTTTTTTTTAAGAGTAAGTAATGCAGAATACAAGTGACTATCTCAGACACAAAATTGCAGGTATGAGAGCTTTTTTCCACAGCAATTGATTCTTGCCAGACATAGAAGTGTTTAAAGGGGAGAGACTGTGGTTGTCTATTCTGGTAACTCTGTATGGAGGGGCCAGGAAGATTTTACCAGCTGACTAGTGCCTTGGTCTCTTTAAGTGATCCTTGCTTGAGTCCAAATCCAGCAGTTCTAGGACAAGAGAATCAGTTTTTGGTTTCTCCTTTGCTGTGTCTGTTCTAAGCCTAGGTAAGATGGTTATGGAAATAAGAAAGCCTTACAAAAGACAGCAACTAAGTTCTGTCTGTTTTAAATAATATTTCTTTGAAACAATGATCTCAGATTCTACCTGGTTGAGCAGAGAAAGAGAACTGGGCTTGATGTTTAAGGATAATTTTGTTTTGGAGTGCCTGGGTGGCTTAGTCATTAAGTGTCTGCCTTTGGCTCAGGTCATGATCCCAGGGTCCTGGGATCAAGCCCCACATTGGGCTTCCTGCTCCACAGGAAACCTGCCTCTCCCTCTCCCAATCCCCCTGCTTGTGTTCCCTCTCTTGCTGTGTCTATCTCTGTCAAATAAATAAATAAAATCTTTAAAAAATAGCAATAATAATTTTGTTTTTAGCCTCTCAGTCATGCTACTTACCATTGAGTGATGTGGTTCTTTAACTTCTCTAAGCCTCAGTGTCCTCATACAAAATGGGACCAATAATTTGTAACTTGGTATGAATAATAAATAGGATAATGTGGGTTAAAATAAACATTTAAGTCCTATCTAAACATAAATTTATCATTAGCCTTTGATCTCTTCCCTTCCTTAAATCATCCAGGCTCATTTCCTCTTTGGCAATCCACATATTTATCTTTTTTATAAAAGACTTTATTTATTTATTTGACATAGAGAGAGAGAGCAAGCACAAGCAGGGGGAAAAGGAGAAGTAAGTTCCCCGCTGAGCAGGGAGACCGATGTGGGGCTCAATACCAGAATCATGACATGAGCGGAAGGCAGACGCGTAAGTGACTGAGCAACTCAGGCGCCCCTCACATGTTTATCTTTTACACTTTTTCCATAAATGGTAAAAGATGAAATTCAGATTATCATGCTCAGTTATAGTATCTATGTAACTATAGATTTTAGCCTTTCTTGATATTCTTTTAAAAAATGATATTAATGGCATTAAAATGAATAATTTAATTATGAGTCCTTTATGCACTTTACATAAATTACTGAGGTCTGAATTAAAGCAATGCTACTTAGATTATTTTAATTAATGTTAGAAGGATGGTAATGTATGGTACCAATTTTGTAATTGTCTGATGGCTTAGAATTCTTCTAGTTTTCTTTATAAAATAATTATCTGTTAATTGATTTTATGATTTTTTTGGAAATTTCTAAAACCAGCATCGTGTCCTGCACCAAGCAAGTGCTAAATAACATTTATTAAATGAATATTGATTTTTTTCATACTCATTGTCTTCCAAGATGTTTAAAGCATTTTATAGAAAGACATACAATGTATAAGAAATATTTCTACTGTAATGGTCTAGTGAGAAATAAAATAATTTGTTGAATCTATAAATGAATAAATGAAAGAGAGTGAATTTGCAACTTAAACTTTAGGGATTGTTCAACATGGGAAATACCTCTCAATCTAGTAAGAAAAGTTTTAAAACAACACACAGCTCTCAAATGCTGTGCATGCCTCAAGATCATATATGGCACTCAGCTGCTATTCAAACTTTATTAACAATAAATAACCTTAAATAATAAATCGAGTCCAAATCCAAAATTAAATTTCAAAGAATTTCTGACTTCATTCTCAAAGCAATCAAATTTTTCTATTAACAGTGTGTGATTCTACTTATACAAGCAAATAAATAAAAGTGGAATAAATCTGTCTTTAGACTGTATGGATCAATAATTTGATTCTTGAAGTTTTCTTGCCTGCTTTTATTTGGAAATTTGCAGTCTCACTTATAGAGTTTATTAGCAAGAGAATGAAACATTTTACTTTTTCTTTAAAATCTCATATTTCTCCATCTAACAAGACTTACAGACGTTTTATCTGGGAACTGAGTAAATCATTGGTATAGATTATGTATAGACCTGTGTTTATATTTATTATATACATAGAATCAGTCAGTTCAAAATTACTTCCTGATGACACCCTATATGCCAGGACTCTTCTAGGTGCTAGGGACACAGCAAGTGAATGAATATGGCACTCCTCTGAAAAATTATTTGCAAGGAAAAAAATGCAATGCTACATAGTAGAATGCTTTTGTTTATGTATCATCTTTTTCATAACCCCCATGTTAATTTCTCACTGCAGCCAATTATATACTACTAAAGTCATTACTTTTTTTAAAAAAAAGATTTTATTTATTTATTTGACACAGAGAGAGAAATCACAAATAGGCAGAGAGGCAGGCAGAAGCAGGCTCCCCACTGAGCAGAGAGCCTGATGCAGGGCTCCATCCCAGGACCCTGAGATCATGACCTGAGCTGAAGGCAGAGGCTTAACCCACTGAGCCACCCAGGTGCCCCAGTCATTTACTTTTTGATTGTTTTCTCTTATATCAGTTCAGACTTTTTAAAATATTTACCATGTTTTAACATACTAGGAGTCTAGCACCCCTGTTTCAAATTTGATCCCTCTTAAGTTCCATCTCTATTTTGCTAAATTACTATTGGGCTGAACTATCTGAATCTTTTCTGGACTCTTTTGTGCTTATAAAAATACAGTGACCACACAATGTGTTTTGGCACAACAAAGGGCCATTTTTGGTGTGTGTGGTGGTTCATGTCAGTTTAGAAAAACAAACTTTCTATGTCAATATATTATTTTGAGGTGCTATACAATCATTCCATTCTCTTATTCTGTAATTATAAGATTTCTTAAGATAACTTATGTAAATAAATGTCATTATTTATCATAATAATGAAACATGAAACAGGTGGATCATTAGGAAGTAAAATATGTCCATTTACTAGATATCTTGAATTCATTAAAAAATTACTTACAATGTTCAAATACTTATTAAAACTTTTAAAATGTGGGGGAGCCGGACTGCATCCGCCGCGGCGTCTCCATGGCACGGCCCTGGCCTCCGACTTCAACGACTTCTTAAGGAGACGTTTCTGGGCGCAGCCGTGTCGCTCCTGGTTTCCATCGTGTGGGAAGAACGGAGTAACAAGTCTCACGCAGAAAAAGGTCCTGAGGACACCTTGTGGCGCACCCAGTGTGACTGTAACGATCAACCTTTTTTGTGTTGTCCTCCCCCGCCTGCCAGAAGCGAACCATGAAGGACCGCTCTTCAACCCCCCCCTTACATGTCCACGTGGATGAGAACACTCCTGTCCACGTCCACATAAAAAAACTCCCGAAACCATCAGCAACCAGCAGCCAGAAATCTCATAAGCGCGGAATGAAAGGGGACACCGTGAATGTGCGGCGGAGTGTCCGGGTGAAAACCAAGGTACCTTGGATGCCCCCTGGAAAGTCATCCGCCCGGCATGTGGGATGCAAGTGGGAGAATCCACCTCATTGTCTGGAGATGACGCCACCATCTTCAGAAAAGCTGGTCTCGGTGATGCGGTTGAGTGACCTCTCTACGGAAGATGACGACTCGGGTCACTGTAAAATGAACCGTTATGATAAGAAGATTGACAGTCTAATGAACGCGGTCAAGATGCAGAAGGGTGAGCGCCAGATGGCCAAGAGGTTCCTGGAGGAGCGAAAGGAGGAGCTGGAGGAGGTGGCCCATGAGCTGGCCGAGACCGAGCACGAGAACACGGTGCTGAGGCACAACATCGAGCGCATCAAGGAGGAGAAGGACTTCACCATGCTTCAGAAGAAACACCTCCAGCAGGAGAAGGAGTGCCTCATGTCCAAGCTGGTAGAAGCTGAAATGGACAGGGCTGCTGCTGCCAAGCAAGTCATGGCCTTGAAGGACACTATCGGGAAGCTGAAGACGGAGAAACAAATGACCTGCACGGACATCAACACCCTAACGAGGCAGAAGGAACTTCTCCTGCAGAAGCTGAGCACATTTGAAGAGACCAACCGCACCCTCCGAGACCTGCTGAGGGAACAGCACTGCAAAGAGGATTCGGAAAAGCTGATGGAGCAACAAGGAGCATTACTCAAACGGCTGGCGGAGGCGGACTCAGAGAAAGCGCGCCTGCTGTTACTCCTGCAAGACAAAGACAAGGAGGTAGAAGAGCTACTCCAGGAAATACAATGCGAGAAGGCTCAAGCAAAGACCGCGTCGGAGCTTTCGAAATCCATGGAGTCCATGCGTGGGCATCTGCAGGCCCAGCTCCGGTGCAAGGAGGCAGAGAACAGTCGCCTGTGCATGCAGATCAAGAACCTGGAGCGCAGTGGGAACCAGCACAAGGCAGAAGTGGAGGCCATCATGGAGCAGCTGAAGGAATTAAAGCAAAAGGGAGACCGAGACAAAGAAACCTTAAAGAAGGCCATCCGAGCCCAGAAGGAGCGAGCTGAGAAGAGCGAGGAGTATGCGGAGCAGCTGCACGTGCAACTTGCCGACAAGGATCTTTATGTCGCTGAAGCTTTATCCACTCTGGAGTCATGGAGGAGCCGCTACAATCAGGTTGTGAAAGACAAGGGAGACCTCGAGCTGGAAATTATTGTCCTGAATGACCGGGTGACAGATCTCGTAAACCAACAACAAACGTTGGAGGAGAAGATGCGGGAAGATCGGGACAGCCTGGTGGAGAGATTACACCGGCAGACGGCCGAGTACTCCGCATTCAAGCTGGAGAACGAGAGGCTGAAGGCCAGCTTCGCCCCGATGGAGGACAAGCTCAACCAGGCACACATCGAGGTGCAGCAGCTGAAGGTATCGGTAAAGAACTATGAAGGGATGATTGACAACTATATGAGTCAGGTGATGAAGACCAGATTGGAGGCTGATGAAGTGGCTGCCCAGCTGGAACGCTGTGACAAAGAGAACAAGATCCTTAAAGATGAGATGAACAAAGAGATCGAAGCGGCCCGTAGGCAGTTCCAGTCCCAGCTGGCTGACCTGCAGCAGCTGCCGGACATCCTTAAGATCACAGAGGCCAAGCTGGCAGAGTGCCAAGACCAGCTGCAGGGCTATGAGAGGAAGAACATCGACCTCACAGCCATCATATCAGACCTTCGCAGCCGGGTAAGGGACTGGCAGAAAGGGTCCCACGAACTGGCGCGAGCAGGGTCCCGCTTACCGAGATGAGCTGCACGCCCCCCCCCCCCCAAAGGAGGACCACTTCCTTTTTCTTGGCTGCCGCTTTCTGAAAGGAGTGAGCTATCATCAGTGCTGTGAAATAAAAGTCTGGTGTGCCAAAAAAAAAAGAAAAAAAAAAAAACTTTTAAAATGTGGGAATTACCTATAACATAAATATTAGTGCAAAAAGTAGGACACATAACCATACGTAAAGGAGCTGTATGACATTAGAATATAATACATCAAAATATTAATGATATGGGGGCGCCTGGGTGGCTCAGTGGGTTAAAGCCTCTGCTTTCGGCTCAGGTCATGATCCCGGGATCCTGGGATCGAGCCCCGCATCGGGCTCTCTGCTCAGCAGGGAGCCTGCTTCACTTCCTCTCTCTCTGCCTGCCTCTCTGCCTACCTGTGATCTCTGTCTGTCAAATAAATAAATAAAATCTTTAAAAAATATATTAATGATATGTATTATATGTAATATAATTTTGTCCTCATGCCTCCTGATATTTTCCAAATTTTCTATAAGCATAATATTAATGTATGAAGTTTATGACTATTTACATAGTAAGTATCTAAGGATGAAAATATCAGAAGTAAATACTTTTATAATTAGTAGCACTTTCAAGTAGGAAAGGTTCTCATTTAGGAGTTGATTTATAACGAGTACCACAATTTTTACTTCAACAGTTGATCCCACTCAAATATCCATTCATTCAGTAGATATTTCTTAAGCTCCCATAATGTGACAGGCACTGTTCTAGGTACAAGAAAGAAAGAAGGAAGAAATTATGGTATCTCCCCTCATAGAACCTATGTTGTAGTAGAAAGAAAGCAACACAAAAGAACTTTATGATAAATCTGTAGTGCATTTTGATAATAAGTACTATGGACAAAAAGGTGATAGAGATGTCTACTATGGGGAAATTTTTGAAAATTCAAAAAGGGTAGTCAGGAAAAGCCTCAACCAACAGGGGACATCTGATCTAGGACTCGAAGTAGATGAGAGTGCAAGCTGGACAGATTTGGAGGAAGAGTATTTCAAGAGGGAACAAGAACACAAATCCTGTCAGGGAAGCATTTCTAGTGTGTTGGCTGGTATGTTAGTCCATTGTAGCTGGAACAGAATGAGGAGGTGATGGGGGAGATGAAGTAAGAGAGGCAACAAGAACCAGATAAATTAGGGCAATATAGATATTATATGGACCTGGATTTTTTACTGCTAATTAGATGTAAGGTCATTGAGGGGTTTAAAGAAGTGATTTAATCTGGCTAGCTTATAAATGATCACTCTGGATGCTCTACTTAAAATAACTGTGAAATTCGACAAACTTCACAGAAAATAAAGAAGTATGAGGGCACCTGGATGGCTCAGATCATTAAGTGGCTAATTTTGGCTCAGGTCATGATCTCCAGGTACTGGGATCAAGCCCCACATCAGGCTCCCAGCTCAGCAGGAAGTCTGCTTCTTCCTTTCCCTCTGCCTCTCTCCCTGCCTGTGCTCTCTCTCTCTCTCTCTCTCTCTCTCTGTCAAATGAATAAATAAAATCTTTAAAAGAAAGAAAGGAAAGATGCATGAATGGTGTGGCTCTCTATATTTCTATATAGAGAAATTACATATACAAATATGGTTTGATGTTCTTTAAAATAAGATATTGTGGTGCCTGGATGGCTCAGACAGTTAAGCAACTGACTCTTGGCTTCCACTTGAGTCATGATCTCAGGGTGAAGGGATAGAGCCCCACGTTGGGCTCTGCACTTAGCAGGGACTCTGCTTAAGATTCTGTCTCTCCCTCTCCCTCTGCCTCTCCCTCTTTTGATGTGTATGTTCTCTCTCAAATAAATAAATCTTTAAAAAATTAACAATAAAATAAGATGTTGATAAATTAGTGGGACCCTAATGCTGTTTATCAAAGCATACTTATTAAGACTACATGAGATCTTTCTGTTCCAGCTGTATTGTGTATACTGTTTTTATTTACTATTATCATTTTGTCTGTTATTGATTGGCTTCTATTAACAATGCCTACCTATATTTCTTTCTGATTCATACTGTTTACATGTAATAAGGATGACGAGTAAACTGCAATGAATTCTAAGTCTCCCTGCATGCAATTTTATCAATCAGGGCCATGTCAGGAAAACAAAAATTAGTATTCTTTGAAGAAGTAACACAAGAGAGTTAAAGTAACACAAGAGAGTTAATTAAGGGACAATTTACAGATGTGTACTAGTGCTATATCAACAAAGGTGTTAGAGAACCATGAGAGAGGGACAAAAGGGAGCTCCATGCATGAAGGAGCATGGGGAAGAAAATGGTGGGGCATACAGGGACAGCAAATGTAGCTATAAGAAAGGAATGACTTCAAGGACTGTCCCTCAATAGATATACACAGCTGACCCACAGGGATCCAGCACTTTCCTTTTGCTTCCCATTTTTTGGTGAATTCAGCCCATGGTCTAGTTCAGCCAACAGCTAGGAAGCAAGGAAATCCATCCATGTAATCCATAGTCAGCTTCCCAAGACACACAGTAAGGCAGAAAAAGGTGGAGTGCCTATCCAGAGGAACAAATTTAAAATGTCTAGCATAGCAATCAATAAAGATTCTAAAGATTTTTGTCTTCATTATTCTGTCTTTATTCATATTTCTAAATTCTAGCCTTGTCTCCTTGCACTGCTATAGCACATAATCTGTAGATGAGGAAATAATCTACAGATTAGAGAATAATTGTGATACAGTTTCCCTTAGTTCAAGTTTTACAAAATTCATTAGAAGCTTTTTTTTACAGCTTTTTTTAAAGTGTAAGGCTGAGAGAGATTTTATAACTTGATTTTTGAAATAAATGAACAATTTTATGGTTTAGTACTCTCTGCTGGTTCTTTTTTTTCATTAGTAAAGAAATTGTGTGAGACAATCTGTATCACTTAGTGATTGACTATTTACATTATACAACACATGCATATGAAGATTGCTGTCCTGATTTTTTTTAAATGCACAGAAAAACATAAATAATTCCTCTTTTCTGCTTAACATATATAATACATATATAATACAAGGTGTGAATTTTTTAAAAGTTTAATAGGATCACTGCAAACTTAAATATAATAGGAAACGCAAAAAAACTAAGGGCCTATGGATAAGTAAAAGAGTTTATCTAATTAAATACAGGCTTGCTATGGAATTCTAAGAAGCCATTATTCTTAGTAATAATTCATTAATTTATTTCATAAATAGTTATTGAACTTCTGTTTTTAGGCTTTGTTAATATATACACAAAATATGTGTAACAACATGATTAATGTCCTCAATATACTAATAATTTTAAAAAGCAAGTTCTCAAATGTAAGTTCAGCTAACATTTTGGGGATGGTAAACATGTTGGAAACTGACTTAAACACTTTATATGTGTTGTGCTATTTGGTTTCCATAATAACCTTGTGAAGTAGGTGGTATTTCTGTCTACATTTATACTTATCTAAGCTGCTGTCTTTGGGTATTTCTAACAGGCTACCACAAATTGGGGGGATTGTAAAAAACAAAAATTATTTCTCACATTCTGGAAGTTCGGAAGTCTAAGGTTAAAGTGCCAGCATATTTGATGTCTGCTTTATAGATGGCTATCCTCTGGCTGTGCTTCACATGACAAAAGAGGCAAGGGAGCTCTCTTGGGTCTGTTTTATAGGGCACTGATCCCATTCATGAGGGCTCTACCTTCATGACCAAGCATCTCCCAAAAGCCCCACCCTTCACTTTGAGGATTAGAATTTTATTAAAGAATTTGGGGGGGTGGCGGTGAACCTAAACAGTCAGTCTGTAACAGGTACTATAAGGTATGGTAATGAAATTCAAACCCAGATAGTGTGATTTCAGAACACATATTTTATAATACTACCAAATAGTAGAATCCATTTTTGTTTAAGAAAAAATAATGCACACATACAAAACAATAACATATAAACTGAACTGAAATATTTGTATATATATTTTTTCTCATATGAGAGTAGAGCTCTAAAATTATGCATATCAAACTCCCAACTGTAAAATCTGCATAGAAGAAAACACACAATACTTAAAGTACACAATAAGTTTTTTTGAATGTATATACACTCATGATATTCTGGTAAATATGGTCTCTGGAAGAAACAAAACAAAACAAAGCAAACAAACAAAACCTTAACTTGCATTGTTTACTGATTTTCAGGTACAAACTCCCACCAGATCTAATTTCAAATTATATAGGGTTTAACAAGCAGCTTGCAAATTTCTGAATATTTAACAAGCAGCTCTCATAAGCCAACAGGAGACAACTCTTATGTGTCCACTGTGACTCTTGTATCAATGCCTGAGATAAGGTTCAGAACATTGCCATAACCATGAAAAGTTCTCCCACATCCACTTTCAGTCAATGCCTACCTTCTATTAAACAATAAAACCAACCAAACAAACAAACAAAAATACTGTTGTAAAAAAAATACTGTTGTGATTTCTATAACTAAAGGTCTACTTTTGCTTGTTTTTTGGATTACACAGAAATGGAATCAGGGGTGCCTTGGTGACTCAGTAGGTTAAGTGGCTGACTCTTGATTTTGGCTCAGGTCAAGGCTCCACAATCAGCAGGGAGTCTGCTTGAGATTCTTTCTCTAGCTCTCTTACTGCCCCTCCCCCACTTGCATACTCATGCCCGTGCTCTCTTTCTCTCTCAAGTAATAAATAAACGAGCCTTTTAAAAAATAAATAAATGGAATTATAGAGTCAATATTCTTTTCTGTTTGGTCTCTTTCATGCAATATGATGTTTTTAAGACACATCCATTTTCCTGTTTGTTATATTAGTTTATTCCATTTTATTTGAATTATATTTCATTGTGTGAACATAAAGCAATATGTTTATTTTCCTATTGATGAGCATGAAGGTTATTTCTGGTTTTTTACTACTATGAATCACATTGCTACACAACAGTTGTGCAAGTCTTTTTGTGAATATATGTTTCCATTACTCTTTGGTAAATCTAAATCTAGAATTGCTAGGT